CCTGGAGAACCGTTGGAGGAGCTCCTCTCCTTCCTAGTAGACATGTCTTCTTGTATTGAGTGTTAAAAGGAAATGACTTAGAACTCTAACTTGCTCTCATACCATGTTGGGCTGAAGTGCCCTAGGATCTTTTGTAGAGTTTAAGTCTGAGTAGAATTGTAATAGCGGAAGCGTTTGAATAAAGAGTGTTTGAACCACCTTGCGCTAGTACCGTCATCGCCCGGATAGAAGACATATATGTCTTATCTTATACATTAGAAAAAATGCTTGCTGTGTCTTATATTTGGGACGGTTTGGGGTGGCTTATAATTCTTATAAATAGGCAAAATATATAAGAACCATGTAACATTCGGAAAGACTGTAGAAACCACCCACGGGGCGGATTAATTGAAAACAGCCACATTTTGATGCGATTCATGCGCCGCCACCTCGTGCCACGTGATGAGAAGCATCAATGCTGCTTGTGCTGGCAGAATTCCGCCCTGCTGGCAGCATCTCATGATGCTTCTAGTGTCGTTTTGCTGCCAGCAGGGAACAGAGCCTTCTAGAACGCTGCCAGCAGCACGATGGCAGCATCCTGCCATCCTGAGTTATCCTCTACGAGCAAATTTGCCGTAGAGGAGCGGCTCGTCTTCCAAGGGGGGGGGGCACTCTGGAATGGGGGGTAGTCGAGGTTGAGCTTCATTTTTTGCTCGTGAAACTCGAAAGTGGCTCAATCTTAGCTCTAAGCAGGCTCTATCATGCGTAGTAAGCATCCTGCAAGCGTGCCGTCTCCTCTCCCTAACGTCCATGTTACCAACTATGGGCGCATCAACTCGCCCGGTGACGACATCCGGGTAGACATGGCGAAAGAGAAGCGCCAACCGGCGGGGAGCTCCAACGCCGGCTCTGGCGCAAGTTGTGACGAGGAAGAGGGCAACGAAGACGCCGGCGACGAAGATCATGGCGACGAGGACGAAGAGGACTGGCCGGAAAACGGCCACGACGACAGCGCATCTGGTGACGAGGTGCCTGCCGGAGGCATCGACGATGACGACTGGTGGATGCAGCCGATAGGCTCCGGCGACGATGTGGAGGAGTGGCACGCCGGCGACGATGACGATGACGGAGGCGCGGATGCGGTTGCTGATGCGGCGGCGGATGCGACGGTAGAAGCTCAGGCGGCGGGTGCAGATGCGGAGGCGGAAGCAGATGCGGATGCGGAGGCGGATGCAGATGCGGATGCGGAGGCGGATGAAGATGCGGATGCGGAGGCGGATGCAGATGCGGAGGCCGAAACAGGCGCAAATACGGCTGCTGTTGTGGTGGCGGAGGCGGGTGATGGCCGTGATGCTGTCTTCTTCGAAGGCGAGGACGACGCGGACGACCCATGGCGCGTCTCGTCAGATGATGACGTGCCTCTGTTGAAGAGGCGGCTGCGTCACGACCTAGGCGTGTCCCGGAAAAAAACCCGGGTGCTGCTCTCGGACGACGACAGCCCGGATGAGGAGCGGCGACCCCGCGTCCCTGCTGCTGACAAGGGGAAGGCTAAGGTGGTTGAGGTTCCTGCTAAGGTCGCCCCTCGCGTCGGACAGAGCAAGAAGAAGTGGAAGGACGATGGCGACCCGGGTTCAAGCAAAGGCGCGAAGAGGCAGAAGAAGAAGGCTGTCAAGAACAAGGACGACATCTTGGTAAACGAGGCGCAGGGCAGTGACGACGACTACGCGGAGGCTGCAGGCCCCATGCCTTCATTCCTTGAGAAGGCGAAGCCAAAAGACCCCACCATCTGTAATGCTAACTCCCGCCCCCCTTCCCCACGCAGTCGCGGGATTAAACGGACCAGGCGGAGCTGGTCCGTGCGCGAAAAGGTGAAGTGGGCGCGTCGCTACGCGGAGCTCGGCTCCCTCAAGAAGACCTCGGCCGAGTCTTCGGCGAGCATCGCATGCATCAGACGCTGGAGCGCGCAGGCTGCAGCGGGCATGTACAAGGGCGCTGCGAATTCTCGCAAGCGCATGCATGGGGCGGGCCGCCACTCACACCACCCCGACATGGAGGCGGCGCTGTACCGATACATCTGCCTGCATCGCGCGAATGGGGTGGCGATCTCGGTCAAGGACACGCAGAAGTGGAGCCGGGAGTGGATGAAGAAGCACCACCCCGGGAAGAACTGGAACGCGAGCTCCCACTGGAGCCAACGTTTCCGCGACCGCTGGAATCTCGTCATGCGGGTGAAGACAAAGGTTGGCCAGCGGTTGTCGGCTGGTGAGTGGTTCTAGGCTGTGAATTCACTGCGCATTGTCAACTCCTTGTCCTTACCACGATATAAACTTGCATATCCCGACTCATCCCATCCTTGTGTGTGTTCTTTTGCCTTGGCAGAACGCGCAAAAGACTGCGAGTCTTTTTGGAAGTTCGTCAGGATCAACAGGGCGCGGCACAACATCGACCCAAGCCGCATCATCAATGCGGATCAAACGCCCCTCTTCGTTGAAATGCCGGCCGAGAGGACCCTTGACCACCGTGGTGCGCGCTCGGTCCCGATCCGCACGGCCGGCTACGAGAAGACGCGGCTGACAGTGATGCTCGCGTGCACGGCATCCGGGGAGAAGTTGCGGCCGTGGGTTTGGTTCAAAATGAAGAACGTTCCGAGGTGTGACGTCCCCGCTGGTGAGCTAAACGAATTTGGGTTTAGGGAGACCACCGTGGCCCTGTTTGGCTCACTCCCCTATCTCCCTATGTGCCTGGCAGGAGTGGTGGTCCAAGCACAGGACAACGGTTGGATGGACGAGACCGCTGTGCAGACTTGGCTGACGAAGGAGGTGCTGCCTCATCTCAACCCCCAGCGGGGCCAGTGCGCACGGCGTGCGATGCTGGTTCTGGATTCGTACCGCGGCCACATCACCCAGGGCATGCTTCGCGCCTATCGCACGCACAGCATCACTCCGGCTGTAATCCCTGCAGGTTGCACCAGTCAAATTCAACCACTTGACGTTTCCATCAACCGGTGTTTCAAGGCCGGGGTGCGAGCTCGCTACGCTAGGTGGTTCATGCGTGAAGGCCTTTACCTGAAGACGAAGAACGGTGAGTCCACTGTCGGTGATCAGTAAATGCCTGCCAGTGTAGCTCTTGATGTACGGTATCTGACGGCACGTTTGCTCTGAATGTGACCCACCCGCAGGGAACCTGAGGAGACCCCCGCATCCCGTGGTGCTGCAGTGGATAGCGGAGGCGTGGGATCAAGTCCCTAGGCAGGTGATCATTGACGCGTTCCGTCACTGCGGCATCTCAAGCAAGCTGGATGGGACCGAGAACCATCTGGTGATGTCCCACCTGCGCGCCAGGAGCACCACCGAGGTCACCGAAGACATGTGCCTCGGGGGCACCACGGGCGACAACACGCGCTTGCTTGGGAAGGCTCCCGAGGAGGAGGAGGAGGAGGAGATGCAGGCGGAGGGCGTGAAAGAGGTGGCCGTGGCCACCGGCCAGGAGGTGCTGTACCAGGAGACCCCTCACTACCGGGGAGCGGCGGCCGAGGCTGACCGCATGATCGAGCCCGTGCAGACAGCCAGGCACGCCTGGCGAGTGCCAGACTTGGGGATGCAGGAGCCACCATCTACTAGTGCAGATGAGGAGGGCGTAACAGAGGGGGGCTAGGTAGAAATAGTAAGATTGGATAAATGCATGCATGTACCCCCCCACCCCTGAATGCAAGAACCGATTATAAGACACCCACCCCCTTTATAAGGAAACCCTAAACCCTAGCACTGTTTAGTAGGCACTGTCTTAAGTCGTACACGCTTGTAGGTGGCTTATAATCGGAAGCACCCAACTATAAGAAACACCCGTATTAAAGACACCCCCTGTCTTCAATTCGACACTGTCTTCTATACGGGCGATGACGGTATGTGAGGGCAAAGTAAGTTGATTAAAACAAGCAAATACAAAGCTTTATATAAGAGTACAAGGAATACGAATAGATATAATTAAACTGTTTTGCTGTTGCGATTCGATACAGTGCGACTCGGGCAACTGCTCAATGTCGAGTCAGTTGTGTGTCCTTGCTGTCGCGCTGTATTTGTCAAGTCAAAGGTCGCTTGACCTTTGACTTTCTCGTAACCTCTAGCGGTTACCCTAACCTCCGAGGGTTGACTCGTGATGCTTTGATTTGAGCTGCTTCACTTGTGTCCTGAGTTTCGACACGACAGAGGCGCTTAAGTCTTATTGTTCCCAACAGTACTAAGGGAATCGAAATCATCTAGTTATGAACCCAACACCAGCTTGAAAATGAAGTTGGGCCTGGCGACGGAAACCATCGTCAGGGCACGGTCGTGCGGGTGCAGCACGTAGAAATGCGACGGCTGAAATGAGTCAGAAATTTCATTTTGGCGGGAGCCAAAAACAGGCAATTTGGCGAGAGCCAACCGCATGAGAGCATTCTGCCCATACGATTCGTTTGGTCAGACTGGTTTCATTCTCCCTTCTCAACACCACTTTCAATTTGGGACGGGGATCAGTATTTTAGCTGCTGGCTTTAAGAAACGAGTCACAGCACTCTTTCAAGATGGGGTTCACTATTTACTGTAGCACTCTCTTTTTAAAGCCGAGTCTAAGGGCGTATTCCTGCACTTCGGGTCATCAGCACTTCGGGCCATCCGAAATTGTGGGATCCAATCGGAAATTCGGAATCAAGAGATTGGGGTGCATTCCGATTTTCTGATTGGATCTCACAATCTTGGATGACCCGAAGTGCTGATGACCCGAAGTGCAGGAATACGCCCCAAAATGGCAAATGGTGGTAACCAAGAAACGGTACTAGTTGAAGAAAGAGTACTACTGTTGTAAGCATTGTGAAACTGATCGGAAGTGAAATTCACTACCATACAAGAGCCTACAATCACAGTATAGAAGGCTGCTGATTGATACTGCATGTGTGTGAGATGCATGCACAACATTCTGTGCCTCTACACATGCAGCTCATTATCCATGTGCTAATCCCTTGCTACCTTAAAATTGGCGCTTGTTCAGAGCTTGAGGAAGACCATTTCCTCGAGGGCAGGGATGGAGTTGATGTCTCTGAGCACCTCGCGGCTGGGCTCCTCGTCCACACCGATGGCCATGAGTGCTTGCTTCCTGGGGCCCGTGCGACCCACACTCATGAAGGAGATGTTGACGTCGTGCGACCCCAGCAGCATGCCCACAGTGCCGATCATGCCCGGCTGGTCCACCTGGCGGCACAGCAGCAGGCTGCCCTCCAGCTCGATGTCCGTGCTGAACCGCCCCACCTGGATCAGGTGCGGCACGCCGTCCTTCACCTTGCCGCCCAGCGTGATGGTGCCCTCCTCGCTCACAGCGGACGCCAGCTTGGAGCTGACGTGGGTGATCTCGAGCACGATGGTGTCCACGGGCACCGACTCGTCCACGTCCACGGGCTGCCGCTCCTCGCGGATGCGGATGCCGCGCTGCTTCGCCACGTAGTCGGCGTTGACCAGGTTGATGAACGCGTTGGAGATGGGCTCGATGAGCCCCTTGGCGATCATGGCGCGCAGCAGCCGCGTGTCCAGGTCCTCGCTGCTGCGCCCCGTGCGGTACGTCACCTTCACGTCCTTCACGCCCGCGCCGCCACTCACCAGCTGCACCGCCAGGCGCCCCAGCTTCTCCGCCAGCTCCACATACGGCGCCAGCTCCTCCAGCACCTGCGCCCACCGCAGGGGGGGATCCATGGCGGGAGGGGGGAGAGTGGGGGAGGGGGGGTGTGGGTTGAGGGGAGTTGAGCGAGTTGTTGGAGGGCGTGGTGGTACTGAACGAGCTGATCAGGTCGCAAATTGAATGCAACACATGCCACACATGCAACACATGCCACACGTGCCACACGTGCAACACATGCCACACGTGCCACACGTGCAACACATGCCACACGTGCCACACATGCCACACGTGCCACACATGCCACACGTGCAACACATGCCACACGTGCCACACGTGCAACACATGCCACACGTGCCACACATGCCACACATGCCACACGTGCCACACATGCCACACGTGCCACACATGCCACACATGCCACACATGCCACGCATGCCACACATGCCACGCATGCCACACATGCAACACATGCTAGAAGCCAGTAGCTGCGTGGCTCAAGTTGAGCTAATCCGTCACAAGCAGCACAGCACGCGTCACTGCACCCACAGCAGCCTCACGCTGTCTCTCCCTCGCCTGCTCTCCAACCAAGCCCCGCACCCTGCTCCATCCTCTTTAATCCTGCCCCTCTGCTGCATCATTTTTACTGCTGCCCGCTCTGTTGTATGCTCTTTACACCCGCCACGAAGCAGCGCGAGTCACATGGCGAACGCGGCATGCGCACCAAAGCACTCCCTCAAAAAGCCCCAGTGCACGTCACAAGGCTCCATCGTGGGTATCCGCCTTCGCGCCCTGCCCGCATCCACCATTCCACTGCACTCGCTCCCACTGCACCAGTCCCCACCACCCATGCTGCCCCCGCATACCCTCCCCCTCAACCCATCCGCCTCGGCCCATCCCCCGTGCCCAATTCCCCCCTCTCAGCGCACCTCGGCGGGCACCATGGGCGCGTTGACGGCGGTGGACGCCAGTTCGCCCATCAGCGCGCCCACCACGGCCTCCGCGATCTCCACCGCCACGCCCTCCTGCGCAATCGCCAACGGGGGGGAGGAGGGGGTAGGGGAAGAGGGGGAGTAAGTAAGGGAGCGTCCAGAGGGGCGATGCGTGAGAGCGAGGGCAATGACGATAGCGAGGGCGAGAGCGCGGGCGAGGTGCGTACCTGCGCCTCGGTGGTGCTGGCGCCCAGGTGCGGCGTGGCGATGACGTTGGGGTGCACCACGAGCGCGCTGTCCGCCGCGGGGGGCTCCTCCGTGAACACGTCAAGCGCCGCCTGGGGAGCGCGCGGGGAAGATGCGCGCATGGGGAGGACGTTGGGGGAACGGGAGGACGACGCATGACGGGGAGAACGATTATGAGCGGGCGCGACGATTTGAGGTAGAGATACGAGCAGGGGCGGATCGAGACGAGGGAGGAGGATGCGTGACGGCCACAGCAGCTGTACAGAAATTGTACACACAAACTCGGAGAGGCAAAAACAAAAGACTCGCCGCACAAGCAAGGCTCCCTCGCATCAGCCTGCCGACGTGCAAAGCCGAACCTGCGCCACCAGCCGAACCTGCGCCACCAGCCGTACCTGCGCCACCAGCCGTACCTGCGCCACCAGCCGAACCTGCGCCACCAGCCGTACCTGCGCCATCAGCCGTACCTGCGCCATCAGCCGTACCTGCGCCACCAGCCGTACCTGCGCCACCTGGCCGTTGTCGAGCGCGCGCACGAGCGCGTCCTCGTCGATGACCCCGCCGCGCGCGACGTTGACGATGCGCACGCCGCGCTTGGCCTTGGCGAAGGCGTCGTCGTTGAGCAGCTTGTCCGTGGCGGGCGTGAGCGGCATGTGCAGCGAGATGAAGTCGGCGCGCTGCAGCGCGTCGTCCAGCGACACCAGCTCCACGCCCATGGCGAGCGCCCTGTCCGCCGGCGCGTACGGGTCGTGCGCGATCACGTGCATGCCCAGCCCCTTGGCCCGGCGCGCCACCTCCGAGCCCACCTTGCCGAAGCCCAGCACGGCCAGCGTCTTGTCCACCAGCGACGTGCCGATGTACTTGCTGCGCTTCCACTCGCCTGCCACCCCGCCCGCCCGCCCACACGCACGCACGCACACACACACACGCATCGGATGATGAGAATGGGGCACACTCGCAAATTGGAGATCCGCAATACTGGCGTCGTGAAACAAAAAATTTCGGGTTTTAGGACACACGAAACTCTTCCGTCAGGAACAAATGCGTCAAGCGCGAGAAGAAAAAGGGCACGCAAAAGAAAAACACTCCCATCCAGATTTGTGTGCGTGAGACTTTGATTGTGATTGTTGGCGAATTTCGTGAATTTGGTAAAAATTGTAGTCTCTAGGACGTCACATGCGCAATTCTATTCGGTGCAAGCGTTATGCCCACCTCGCTTCATGGACGCGTCGGCCTGCGCGATGTTGCGCGACATGGCGGTGAGCAGCGCGATGCCGTGCTCCGCGGCAGCGACGGTGTTGGCGGTGGGCGCGTTGACGACGAGGCAGCCCGCCTCCGTGGCGGCGTGCAGGTCCACGTTGTCGATGCCCACGCCCGCGCGCCCCACCACCTTGAGCCGCCCGTTCGACGCCTCGAACACCTCGCGGGTCACCTTGGTTCCGCTGCGCACGATGAGCGCGTCGCACAGCGAGATCTTGGCGCACAGCTCCTCCGGCGTGAGGTTGTACGAGCAGTCCACGTTCGCGATCTTCTTCAGCAGGTCGATCCCCGCGCTGCCCAGCTTCTCCGCCACCAGCACCGTCGGCTTGCCCTCGATGTTCCCCTGTGCGCGGGGCGTCGCGCGCGAGCGGCGCGAGGACCTGGCGGCATGTTGAGGGGAGGAGGTGGTGGCCTTGAGCGAGTTGCCAGAGAAGGAGGACTTGGGCAGGCCGACTGAGCGCGCACTGGACGCTACGGGTGCCGCTAGTCGCGTCTCTGTTGCAATGCCCGCAGCAGCGGCTTTGAAGGTCGACGAGACGGCTGCCATGAGTGCGGTTGAGGTGCTAAGATCCAAGAGTTACAAGGTATGGTGAGCTAAACCCCAGACTGAAAACCGTGGAAATGTGAAGCTGTGCTTTCGACTTTGATTTCGAAGCTGCTGGGAGTTGAGTTGAGATGCGCAAGGGACTACTGCTGCTCGCAGAATTCCAGGACTGATTTCGCGCGGCCATGGGACATGCGCTGGCGAGTAGAGAATCTGGAGATCGAATTGCAAGCGGCACCGCCACATATGCACGAGATCTCTCCACGCAAGCCGCGGGGCACTGACGTGGTTTCCCACTAAATAATATTTCGCCACGGAACCAACCAATCGCACATATTGGCTGCTGATGCTTGCATTACTGTGTGTGCCTTGCGCGTAACAGTGCAGAACCCTGATCCTCCCCAAAACCCTGAACGTTAAAGCAACCTTTCAGGATCCTCGTTATCAGACAATATCCGTATGATAGTGAGAATGACAAAGTCCTTATGATGGAATAATCTGATAGAGTCAACTTGGCTGACGTTGCTCCTCCAGAAACACTATTCCTCCAGTATTCGAGTAAATTTTCGCAGCCCGCCGCATTTCAATTCAATTATGTCTCCACTGATTTCATAAGTTACCTTCATTGAGAAAGCTTGCTTTCTTATTCTTATCAATTGGCATCGTTCTCATTACAAATGGCTTATTACAACATTTGCATCAACGGTGAACACAAGCTAGTGCAATCTAATAACACTAGCTAAGATGTACCCTATTCAAATGGCATTAGCAAGGCGGTTTACTTTGGGATGGGTGGTGGGAATGTTGAGTGAGCCATTTGAAAATCGAGAAACGTGGGTGGAGGGAAATGAACTCCAACCCACGGTTTTTGTAGTTGGAGAAGGGCGTTTAGCGCGCTTCGACGATGCCAATTGTGCAGTACAAGCAGCTTCGCTTTCACAATACACAATTTTAAAAAACACAATGTGTGTTTAAAAATTATAATATTTAGAAAGCTTGCTTTCGTTTTCTTATCAATTGGCATCGTTCTCATTACAAATGGGGTCTCTGAGACGCGGCATGCATCAGATCTTGTAGGTTACAGGAGGCTTCGATAAGAGGCTCGACATATGGTGTAACACACATTTCATTTGCTGAGTCGCTTCGCCATCTGCCCAGCCGTTTGAAGACCCTGTCTGGCACGCCCGTGTTGGCTGCTAATGTGGCTGCACCTTTTCGGAAAGAAAGTTTGCCGAGTTGCAACTCTCCAAGGCCAACCTTCGCGAAGGCTTCCTGCACCAGTTCTGGATCGTAGTGTATGAAGGTGGCCTTGCTTGGCCCTCGCTGGTTCAAGCGTGGCCGAAGACCCGAATCAATGGTCCCTCTGACCGTGGGCCATAGCCAGCCAGTTGGATGAAGCGTCAGGTGCAGCGCACTGGGCAATAGGGGTCTGCCGTTGTTGCAATGGGAATCCAAGTGCCATGACCAGCCTGATCGGTCTCGGAGTGTGGTATGAGAATCCACATGACCTCGTCGTCGAATTGGATGTCTTGCCATTTTATGGCTGCTAGGTCTGAATATCGCAAGAATCCTGAGTACATGAGGATGGGGATCAACCCTATCTGAAACGTCGCGGGATCGTCAGACTGCAAGTAACCCGCGGCCATGTCCCGGACTTGTTGGATCGATACGGGTTCCTTCATACAAGTAGGGCGAGGGCAGTGTCATTTTGCACAGTCACGGACTTGGGTGGTGAACGGTCCGGTTGTCGGGCATTTGCTCCCGGACATGCGATGAGCGAAGCTGACCGCCGAGCACGTCAGCAGCACTACGGACAGGGTGGCTTTGCGTCGGATCGCGTGTACCAGGTAGAGCGCGAGGGTCATGTCGGATGCCGGAAGAAATGGGAGGTTCACTTTTGTGCAGAAGGCTTGAAACTTCGCCCAGTATGGTTCGTATGTCCAGATCGTAGAATCAGCGCGAGACTGCGCGAGCATGTTAATCATTTGGTCCTGCAACTTTGGGAGCAAATCTGAACACAGGGCGTAGATATTTTGAATTAGTCAAATGCCTTTCTCAGTGCAATAATTGGGTTGTGCGGTAGTCCCATGCCTAAAAAAGCATTGGAATGGGACCCTGCGTCTAGGCATTGGCTTCCGTGTGTCATGTCAGATTTATATGACATAGCTGCTGTAGGCTATAGTGGAGTAGCACATATGGGGTACAACTTTCTAGGGTTTGCACTTGTACCCAACTTTCCCTTAGTCATTCCATTCTCGTTTCAGTTTTCTTATGGTATCGAGCAGGTTCCCTCGTGGGAACTGTTCCTAGGGCCCACCGTTTTTTTCCTGCCCGGAGCGCACTCAGCCCCTGCCCGAGTCGCGCTCCCCTCTCTCTCGGCTCCTAGCGGCCCTGTCGCGCCGCCCTTATGGCCCCATCGCGTCGCGCCGCCCTTGCGGCCCCGTCGCACCGCCTTTGCGACCCCGTCGCGTCGCGCCGCCTTCGCGGCCCCGTCGCGCCGCCTTCGCGGCCTCATCGCGCCGCCCTCGCGGCCCCTTCGCGCCGCCCTCGCGGCCCCTTCGCGCCGCCCTCGCGGCCCCTTCGTGCCGCCCTCGCGACCTCTTCGAGCCGCCCTCGCTGCTCCGTTGCCCCACCCTCGCGGCCCCGGCGCCGCTCTTACCGGCCCAGGCGCCGCCCCTACCGGCCCTGTCGCCCTACCCTCGCGACCCCGCGGCCCCACCCACACGGTGCCGGCCGCCACCCTTCGTGGCCCCGCTGCCACCCTTAGCGGCCTCGTCGCCGCCCCACCCGGCCCTGCCACCGTCCCTTCAGCGTCTCTGCCGCCCTTCACGGCCCCGCCGTCACCACCGAGCCGCCGTTGCCGCTGTGCCGCCGAGCCGCCGTTGCCGCTGTACCGCCGAGCCGCCGTTGCCGCTGTACCGCCGAGCCGCCGTTGCCGCCGAGCCGCCGAGCCACCGTTGCCGCCGAGCCGCCGTAGCCGCCGAGCCGCCATTGCTGCCGTTGCCGCCGAGCCGCCCGAGCCGCTCTGTCCGCTCCGCCCGGTCAGTGCCGTCGCGGCCCTGTTCCTGCCAACGAGCCTCGGTCCTTCTCACCTGCCCGGTAAGAGCAGCGCCTCTACCACTGCACTGCCCTTAGATACTGCTGTCATGGCTACCCCTAGTGTCCTCACTTTTGACGCTGAGGGTCGGGCCATTGACTTTGACGTCTGGGTAGATGACCTGCAGCTTTACCTAAAGTGCGATAGGGCAGACGGTCTCTCCCTCTTTGACCTCACTTCTGGTGCCTCTCCTGCCCCTGCTGCTGATGCTGACGCCACTGTTCGCTCACAGTGGGCCACACACAATGCTGCTGCACGTCTTGCTGTGCGTCGCCACTTGCCTACCTCTGAGCGTGCACACTTTAGCCAGTACAAGACTGCTAGGACCTTGTACGACGCTGTAGTTGCACGCTACTCTTCCCCTGCCACTGCTGCACTTAGCTGCCTCATCCTGCCGTACCTCTTCCCTGACCTCGCCGCTTTTCCCACAGTCGCTGACCTCATTATGCACCTTCGCACTAGTGACATTCGTTACCGCGCTGCCCTTCCCGCTTAGCTACTGGAGCTGCTGGGGGTACTAGAGCTAGAGGTGCTGCTGGCGCTGGTGCTACCGCTGAGGGTGCTGGTGCTATCCCTGCTGTGTCTGGATTCGCTGCGCGGCCTCGGCCGTACTTCGTTCCGCTCCTTGAGCAGGTTCTTGGTCTCCCGCCTTCTACTGGTCCTCCTCCTCCCTTAGAGTGTCCACAGCCTGTCCCGTCACAGTCACAGCTACAGCCGGCCTCCCCACTACCTGCTCCTCTCCCTACACTGGTCCTACTGGAGGTCTTGCTGAGCGTCGTGAGCCTGCGTCTCGCCCTGCGTCGCCTGTCCGTCCTGCTCGCACTAGTGGTCGTGGTTCGCGTCAGCGTCCTCCTCCTGTCTCTGGCACGCACCGGATGTCTCTGCGTCCGTCCACTGCTCCTTTGCGTGCCCCTTTGCCTTCTCCTCCTGAGTCCTCTCTTCCTGCTCTTGCCGACCCGGAGTCGGACTCTCTTCGTGCTGCCAGTCCTACTGTCACGCGTCTCCTTGTTACTGTTGTCACTGACCCTTCCTTTGAGTCCACTGCTGCGTCTGCCCTAGTTGCTGAGCTCGTCGACTTTGCTGCTGCGTGTCGTCTAGACTACGCTGCTAGTCTTGTCGCTGAGTCTGGGTCTGTCTGTCCTCCGTCCGTCGGGGGTGAGTGTGCCCTTGGCACGGACGTCCTTGAGGACAGGCAGGAGGAGTTCCAGTGTCTGGCTGCTGCTTCACCTCATCTCGTGTCCAACTGCTTCCAGTGTCTTGCACTTGTACCCAACTTTCCCTTAGTCATTCCATTCTCGTTTCAGTTTTCTCATGTCAGAGGGATGTGCGTGTGGATGTGTGGAGCCCAAGTGCATGGGGAGGGTTGCAAAAGTGGCCACCATATTGCTCCTGGCCAGTGCGGAACTATCAGTGTGAGTGATGCATGGGTGCGTTGTGCATGATGGAGGACGGCTGGGACCAGTTGGGGCGGGGGGAAGGCGAAGTTTTTTTCGGGTGTCCACGCGATCGAGAACGCATCAACTGCGATGGCTTCCGGGTGGGGAATCTTTGTGCAGAAGCGCGGCACTTGGGTGTTGCGGGAGTTTGCGAAGAGGTCATGGAGTGGGGCCCCCAACGACGTTCCAAGATGCGGAACCACTGCGTTTTCAGCGCGTAATCATCGTGGTCGACCATTTTTGAGAGTTCGTCGGCGTGTATATTGAGCTCGCGCGGAATCCATTCGATGATCAAGCGCGCGCCAAGCTCCATGCATGTTCTGATGATGCTCTTTCATGCCGTTGTGAGGTCGGGGCTGTGAGAGCCGCCTTTGCGAAGGATGAAGAACACGCCCTGGTTGCCCACCCGCACGAGAGTGTGTTTTTTCTTGATCTTGTTTGCGTATGTTTGGAGCGCCCAAAGGACGCCTTCAATCTCCCGTCGAGTGCTGGACGTTCCTCGTAGCGGCTCTAACATGGTTGCGCTAGCTTCTTCGAGGCCGCCCGGAAATGTGGTCAGAGTGGCGCCCCAACCATGAGAGCTGGCTTCCACATAGATTACCGCGTCGTAGCTGTTCCTGACGTGAAAAGGTGCGCCGTTGAAACGATCAAACTCCTCGAGCCAAAATTGGAGTTCCTCTGCTGCAGATGGGGGGATAACCACGCTGCTTTTCCATGACGGTGCTTCGTTGATCACTTGTAATATAGCGTGGCTGAATGCGCGAGCGGTTGCGCCAAGTGCGACACCCATCGATGCAAACATGCCAGTGATTCTGGCCACGTGGTGGACCGGGACTGGTCGGCATGCCCTGCTTGCAGTCAGGAGGTTCTTGATGGTTGCATGTAGTGAGGCTCGTCGGTCGGGACCGATGGAGAATCGGCCGGTGTCAGTCTCCAGTTCTACGCCCAGGAATCGGAGATGTTGCGATGGTGACAGTTGTGATTTCTTCGGGTTTATCACAAGGTCTGCCTCTTTAAGGTCCAAAATCTCCCGTTGGCAAATTGCTTGCGCATCGGCCTTCGATCGGCAGAGAAATAAGATGTCATCCACGCAAGGTACGACTCGGATGCCTTGTTCTCGCCAACGCCAAGCTAGTTGCTTGATGAGCTGTGTGAAGACGAATGGAGCCGTCGCGAGGCCGAATGGTAGTGAACGAAATGCGTATGTGCACCTATCGAATTCGAAGCCAAGGAACTTCCAGCATGATGGGTGGATGTCGATGTGATGGTAACCAGGTTTGAGGTCAATGGAGAACATCCAGTCCCCAACGCGCGCGAGGTTGGCGACACGCCTGAGCCCCTCGTAATTGAACTTGGGGACAATCAAGTTGGCGTTGACTTTCCTCAGATCAAGAATGAGCCTGCATTTGTCTTTTTGCTTGACCACTTTAAGTGGAATTATGCATTTAAGCTCTGTTGCGGCCATCGGAACTGCCGCTCCCGTCTCTATGAGTTCTTGGATGGCGGTACGTGTGAACGTGGCATGCGTGTTTGCCCCGACATGATTACGATCGTGGAAAGGTTGTGGTGGGCCGTGGCTCCATGGCAACCAGTAACCCTTGGCGATGACGGAGAGGACGAGGCTGCTAGGGCACAATGAGCTCCACCATGCAAAGGTCGCGCGAAGACGACCGCGCATCTGTGTAATAGTTCTGTCTGTAATGGCCAATTCGTACGGGTCGTCGTAGCATGCCGCCTTGCACCGTCGTGCTCCTGTATATTGGAGGCCAAGTAGTATACGAGTTGAGTATTCCATGTTAAAGCATGCGTGTGCATGTACATGTAAGGGCAACCATCAAATGTGTGAAGAAAATAAAAAACCGAAGGAAATGTCAACGAATGTGTCGGGCGCAAAACGACGCTTCTTCTTCTCTTCGTTTTCTCGCCCCGTCGTGCACTCGGTAGGATGTGGTTGTGCCTGCCCTTATTGCATGGGAGCTGATGCCTATGGCCATGGACACACTTGTCCATTGTCCTTATTCTCTCTCGTTTTCTCTCTCTCTCTCTCTCTCTCTCTCTCTCTCTCTCTCTCTCTCTCCCTCTCTCTCTCTCTCTCTCTCTCTCTCTCAAGCGGTCATGCATTTATGTTGCTTATAAGGTACAGACATGCAGGGACGGGACACAGCCAGTTGACTGTTCTAGGCATGCTAGCAAATGGGTAGGCAAGACAAGCACACTAGCAAACACAAGGCACAGGCCGTCCTAAGCAAGCATAACCCACGTCCGAGAGCTCCCTGTACCAGCACCCTCATCCAACAGGCCCCCTTTCCTCCCGAACCTGGCTACGCGCCTCTGCCACCACTGCTCCCGCTCCCCGGCCTCTACACTCCTGCCAAGTCGTCGTCAAGCACCTGCCAGAGGTCCCCGAGGCTAGGCTCCCAGGGATCCATGGGTGCTTGAGGGTACGCTGCTTCCGCTGCCATGTTCGATTTGTTGAGGAAGGAGATGGCCTGGGAGCGTTGCAGCATCACCGACCAGCGCTGCCGATAATGTGCATTGAGCCTGGATGCTGTGGTAGTGAGCGGCCCCTGCCTGAACTTTGTCTTAGCAGTTGCCACGGCCAGCAGACGGAGGAACTGGACCGTGTCTGCCGCCAGTGCCCCATACGTTTCAACCGCCAACCCCAGGAACCCAACGTAGTCCGGGCGGCTCTCGTAGAGGCGGTGTTTCCTCTCAGAAGCCTCTTTGGCTGCCCACCCTGGCGGCTTCTGAACCCTTGGGTCCCGCTTCTGAAGCACCGGGTCCATTACTGTGACGTTGGTGACCCAGGTTTCTGCAGATTCCCGGTCCTGGAAGGCCAAGTCCGCGCACTTGCGGAGGACAGGGGGTGAGAAAGCCGCGGTCTCGTGGAAAGGGTTGAACCCCGCCTCCCGTGCCATTCGCAGGGCCGCGGTCTCTCTCTCTCTCTCTCTCTCTCTCTCTCTCTCTCTCTCTCTCTCTCTCTCTCTCTCTCTCTCTCTCTGTCTCTCTCTCTCAAGCGGTCCTTGTATTGATATAACGGGTGAGTACAAACGATCGAGGCAGAATAGAAACAGGCAACACCAGAGACTAAAAGAACAACCTAGCAGCAAACCAGATCCTAAGAACAACCTACAACCCCACCCACCAGCCACCACCCCCCCCCCCACTGGAAGCTCCTAAGGGGGCTCAGCAGTAGGTTCAAGCACCACAAAACAGTCCCCCAGGGACATTTCCTCGCCAGGGGCCCCGACAAGAGGGTTCTGGGCCTCTGCTGCCATGTTGCACTTGGCCATGTAGCTTACGGCCTGCGCGCGCTGAAGGGCGAGCGACCATCTCTGGCGGAACTGGTTGAGTAGTTTTGCCGCCTGGTAGGTTGAAGGGTCGGCGTTGAAGAGCTTGCGTGCAGCCGTGTGAGCCAAGAGCTTGAGAAAAGCGGGGACCTCTGTGCATGGGCAGCCATAAGTCTCGACTGCGAGGGGCCCGAATGAGACGTAGGCTGCCGGGGAGCCGCTGTATTCTGGGATTTTTTTGTCAGCGGCTTCCCTGGCAGCCCACCCCCTCCCTTTCACCGCATTGGGGTCGCGCGTGCTGATGGGGTCAGTGATGGTGACGTCCCCGATCCATACTGCCCCTGAGGACCGATCACGAATGGCGAGGTCCGCTGTCTTCCTAGTGACCGGCCAGAACTCCGACGTTTCCTTGTGCACCATGAACCCGGCGTACTGTGCCATCCTAATGCACTCATCCCTCAGCTCGTTGTGAGTATTTGTCCTCCCCCCTCCTGTGGCGCAGCGTAGCAGATGGTTTGGAAGCCGATTGTCTGGGATGGGAACCTGCTTGGTGCAGTCACAAGCGCCGGGGGCTGAGAATGGTAGTCCTAGCCTGAACTGTAGGGCTGTGGCAAAGTGGGGACCGTCGAGCCTCAGGGAGGGCATGAGCGGGACTGCATGGAGCCAGTCCCCGGCTCCGTACCCTGACAAGGAGAGGAGGCGCTGCGTATGGCCGCTATTGGGGTTTGGGGCCATGCCCCGTGTGCTCTCCACCTGATTAGCATACCTTCTGCCCTGAACTGCCAAAGCTAGCCCCTGCTGCAGCTTCACACCCGTGGGAGCAGCCCTGTCACTCTGTAGTAGCTCCCCGGCATCACTCGGTAGGTCTGCCTCGCACTGAGCTAGCCAGCGGTAGAGAGCGCAGGAGTCTGTGTACGGTCCCATCATCTGCACCCGTGTCCCCGCCAGGGGCCCCAGCTGGCTATCTTCAAGGGTTGAGAGCAGCTGCTGTGCCTGGGTAAAGCTAGCTAGGTAGCTGTAGCTGCCCTCGACCGCGGGGTCAGTGATTCCGAGGCCCCCAAGTGATACTGGCAGCGAAGCTTGGGACCATGTACGAGAGATCTCAGCATCACCCCGCGGATGCCTAATGCCACATGCCGTTAACAGAGTCTCAAACAACTGCCTGCCCCAACCGGACCACTCATACAGAGGCATATGCATGAGGGGTGTGGTCCGGATGAGGTAAGAAACTCGTCTTGAGATACACCTGGAGAGTAGCAGGGCAGCCAGCTGAGGTTCCATCCGTGCTATCAGGCCAAGAGGTGCCGCCATGGAGCCAAGGTTAGAACGAATGAAGTCTGCTGTGGCCTCATCGGAGCCTATGAAACTGCATAGCAACTTCACGCTGTTTCCAGTGAACGGGACACCGTGGGGTAAGGCAGAGGTGGGGATGCTTGACTGTGACCAGGCCGCGCATTTAGATGGGTTATGATGCAGGCCAATTGACATGAGGCTCTCTGTGAAGTGCTGAAACGCTGCTACGCAAGTAGATTGCTCCCCTAGGAAGGTGACGTCGTCTGCGTACGCTAGGCAGGCTACAGTAGGGAAGGCTTGGGCTGTAGCTTGTAGCGCGGGATTGATTGCAGCTGCAAACAGCAGTGGCCCAAGAGGGTCTCCCTGCCGAACTCCCGTCATGCTTAGCAGGGGCTCATGCTTGAAGCCCTCGTCCAGGTAGAGCGGTGAGGGGGCCCCGTAGGTGAGCTGTACTAGTGGTAGTAGTGGTGCTAGAGCCGAGTTGTCTAGCGCGGATGCTATTGCAGCTCTGTTGACACTGTTGAAGGCGTTGGCTAGGTCTGCCTGGAGGACTAGTGCGTGAGGGTTTTCAGATAGGTAGGCGCGGGTGATGTGGATAACCGCCTCCGCTCCCCCAGGCACCGCCACGCCGAACTGGTGTGGCATGAAGAATTTTCTTGCCGCCCCTTCTGTCAACATCAGAGCTGTTTTGGCGGCGAGTCTGGTGATGCTTTCACCAATAGCGATCGGCCTTGTCCCTCCGTCTGGTTTGGAGAGAGCCAGTAGGCGGGACGCTGTGAGGAGCCTGGCGACTGGGGATGGCAGTTTCCCTGTCAGAATGGTGTTGACCATTGCGTGGATGTTTGTCGCTACTGACTGGTTGACTAGACACGCCTCCCGCACATGCTCGAATGTCAGACCTGATGGGCCCGCCCCAATCCCATTGTCACAGCGTGACAGAACTCTGAGAAACTCGGGCAAGGTGGCTGTCAAGTGGGCGTTGGGGTCAGGTACCGGCCAAATGAGGGGCGCTTCAGGAGCAGATGGGTGCTTGGCGCGTAGTGCTTCCAGGATTGCTGGTGACGGGGTGCACACCGGCGTCGCCTCCAGGGCAAGAACCGCTCTCCTTAGGCTGCCACGTCGCGCAAGGCCCTCTGCCCTTGCAATCACTCCCAGGTCGTCGGGGGTATGCCTGGGCGCTTGAGGGTAGGTCAGAGAGTCGAGCATGTCTGAGTACAGTGCACTCCACTCCCCCGCCAAGAACTGTCGTAATCTTGCTCTGACTGCCGGCTAATCCGGTTTTTGAGGAGTGTATTGTCTCAGTGTCAGGCGTGCGAGGAACAGGAAAACTGTCCATGCTGTCAGTGATTCTGGGTTGTCAGCCAGTCGGAGCAGAGGGGCTAGCAGCGCAGTCGCGAAAATTGGGCGGATGTCCTGTGGGAGGTGGCGTGGCAGAGGTGCGTTGCGAGTGTCGCAGAGTTTCGTCAAGTCCCAAGTTTCCACGGCAGCGAAAAGCGTGTTATCAACAGCCAGTGCCTCTGGCGATTTTTCCTCCAGCGGTGGTGGGAGGGTTGGCTGGGTGGTGGTGGGTTGGGTTCGGCCAGGAGGGGCGGGCCGACCAGTTGGTGCAGGATTTGGCGCGGCTCGGGAGGGGGAAATGTTTGCAGATGCGGTTCGATTTTGGGGGCCGGCCAAATTCCTCGATGCGGTTTGGCTTGGTGTTGCGATTCTCTCCTCAGGCAGGCACAATTCCTCTTCGACTGCGTCTTCCTCTGAGGACTCAGCTACCTCTGTGGGAATATAAGTAGCGTCCCGAGCTTCTTCCTCTTCATTAGTTGCTTCTCGAGTTAAAGCCCTTCGCGCTGCTCGTTGGAACCCGTTCTCCGGACCGCCGTTTTGCCCACCCGTGTTCCGCTGCCCCGTGCCTCGTCCTCGCCGAGATGCCTGTCGCGCTTGGGGACGATCTCGTGTATTTGCCAAGGCCCTTTGCCGTGGCGTCAGCAGTCGTTGCCCCTCCCGCTGTATCGGCACCGGCTCCGGCGCCTGCGGGGATGTCGCCCCCTCCCGATCCTGTGTCTGCGCCGTCGCCTGTGCCTCCTGCTGACCTGGCCCCTGCGCCTGTTGTGGCGCCACCCCCTGCTGTGGCGTCGTCGTCCGCGCCTGCTGTGGTGACAGCTCCTGCTCCTGAGGTGGCGCACCTTGGAGCACGCGGTGTGGCGTCTGCTCTTGCGCCTGCTGCGGCGACTGCACCGGTGCCGGCAGCCGCGTCTGCTCCTGCGCCTGCCGCGGTGCCTGCTCTGGCGCAACCTCCTGCGCCCGCTGCTGCGGCTTCGTATGCGGCTGCTGTGGCGGCCTCCGTGCCGCCACAGGCTGCGCCAGCCGGGGCGCCTTCTGCTGTAGCTGCTGACCCGTCTTACCAGCCGCCTCCAGCCACCAGCGCCGTCCTGAACCAGGCGGGGGATGCCGTTTCGCCGTCGGCTCCTGCGTCATCCCCTGCTGCCCGGCCGGCTCAGCGTCATCCGTCCCCACATCGCCGTCCCTCTCGACCTCACTCACCATTGCCGCGAGATGAGCGGGAGTCGTCGCGACGCCGTCGTGATTCTCCTCGGCGTCGCCATTCGCAGGCGGACTGGCCTGCCCACCGTGGAGGCCGCGGTGGCTAGAGGGGTGGTCGCGGTCGTGGTGGCGGGTGTCAGAACATATAGCTTACTTGTTTCTGTAGGCTATAGTGGGGTATCCAATAGGGGGTACAACCCAATTAGGGTTTCCTATTTGTACTCACTTCGTTCATAGTCATTTCATTCTCGTTCTTTGTTTTCACATGGAATCAGAGCAGGTTCCCTCCTAGGGACTGCTTCTAGGGCCCACCGAACCGCGCCCCGAGGCGCGTTTTTTTTTTAGCGACCCGTCGTGTCGCCCCTAGCGGACCGTTGCGCCGCCCTTCCCCTCGCGGCTCCGCCGCCCTTCCCTAGCGGCCCCGCCGCCCTTCGATCGCGGCCCCGCCGCCCTCTGCTACGCGGCCCCGCCGCCGCCCTTCGATCGCGGCCCCGCCGCCCTCTGCTACGCGGCCCCGCCGCCCTCTGCTACGCGGCCCCACCGCCCTCTGCTACGCGGCCCCGCCGCCCTTCGATCGAGGCCCCGCCGCCCTCTGCTACGCGGCCCCGCCGCCCTTCGATCGCGGCCCCGCCGCCCTCTGCTACGCGGCCCCGCCGCCCTCTGCTACGCGGCCCCGCCGCCCCCTGCTACGCGGCCCCGCCGCTCTCTTCGGTAGCGGCCCCCGCCGCCCTCTGCTACGCGGCCCCGCCGCCCTCTGCTACGCGGCCCCGCCGCCCTCTGCTACGCGGCCCCGCCGCTCTCTTCGGTCGCGGCCCCGCCGCCACTCTGCTACGCGGCCCCGCCGATCCGCCCAGCAGCAGCCGCCGCCGCCTGAGCCGCCGCCGAGCCGCCGCCGAGCCGCCGCCCGAGCTGCCGCCGAGCCGCCGCCGAGCCGCCGCCGAGCCGCCGCCCGAGCCGCCGCCGAGCCGCCCGTGCCGCCCGAGCCGCCGCCGAGCCGCCCGTGACGCCCGAGCCGCCCGCGCCGCCCAGCAGCAGTCGAGCCGCCGCCGAGCCGCCGCCGAGCCGCCGCCGAGCTGCCGCCCGAGCCGCCGCCCGAGCCGCCCGCGCCGCCCGAGCCGCCTGCGGAGCCGTGCTGCTGTTCCTCTGCTGCTGACCTACCCGCCTCTCCCAGCCCGGTGAGATTTTCAGCTGCTGTCATGGCCACCCCCAATGTTCTTACCTTTGACGCTGAGGGGAGGGCCATTGACTTTGCCGTCTGGATTGAAGACCTGCAGCTGTACTTACTGTGTGATGCGATAGATGAGGTCTCTCTCTTTGACTTTGTCTCTGGCGCTGTCCCTGCCCCACCTGCTGATGCTGACTCTGCCGTTCGCTCCAAGTGGGCGACCCGCGATGCTGCTGCACGTCTTGCTGTGCGTCGCCACCTCCCTTCCTCTGAGCGTGCCCACTTTAGTCAGTGCAAGACCGCTCAGGCCTTGTACGACGCTGTAGTTGCACGCTACTCCTCCCCTTCCTCCGCTACCCTTAGCCGCCTCATGCTACCGTTTCTCTTCCCTGACCTCGCTTCCTTTCCCACTGTCGCTGACCTCGTTACCCACCTCCGTGCTAGTGACACCCGCTACCGCGCTGCCCTTCCTGCTGAGTTCCGCGCTGCGAACCCTCCTCCCATGTACATCACTCTCTACTTTCTCGTCACCCGTCTCCCTGAGTCCCTTCGTGTCGTTAGGGACCAGTTTCTCTCTGTCTGTCCCACCACTCTCACTGTCGACCTCCTTGAGGAGTCCCTGCTAGCGGCTGAGAAGAGTATTGTCGCTGTAGGGGCCTCTCGGGGTGACCCTCGCACCCCCATCTTTGAGGGGTGTGGTCCTTCCCCCCTGCTGCCCTCTGTCGCCTCTGCCGCTGCGGCCGACCTCACTGGTTTTGAGTCGGTCGGCGCGGCGTCTGCCCCCAGCGGCAGACGCCGCGCTGGCAAGGGCAAGGGGGGCAAGGGAGCGGGTGGAGCTAGAGGGGGCGGTGGAGGAGGCGGTGGGGGTGGCGGGGGGAGTGGGGGTGGCGGTGGGGGTGGTGGCGGGAGTGGAGGTACTGGTGGCGGCGGTGGAGGCGGAGGTGGCGGCGGAGGTGGTAGCGGAGGAGGCGGTGGGAGCGGTGGGAGCGACGGTACTGGTGGGGGAGGTGGAGGTGGAGACGGGGGTGGCGGTGGAGGCGGGGGTGGCAGTGGAGGCGGGGGTCGGAGTGGCTCGTCCCAGCGGAGCAGCTCCGGGGGTGGTCAGCGCCAGCAGCAGCAGCAGCAGCAGCCGCAGCAGCAGCCACAGCAGCAGCAGCGCTCTCGCACCGTCCCCGCCCCTCAGCAGCTCCGTGAGTGGTACTCGCAGCGTCAGCGTGGTGGTGCGCTTGGTCCTTGCCCCTACGTTCTCCGCACCGGTGACCGTGCAGGGGAGAGGTGTGGAGGCGCCCACACTGCCCGCCGCTGCTTTGGCCGCCTGCTGACGCCTGGCGTCAGCAGTTTCCGGAGGCAGCTGAGATCCCCCGCTGGGGAGAGCTGTCTAGGGCTGGTGTAGCTATTTATGATCTTGATTTTGATGCTATTCTCTCTGCTATGTATGCTGCGATTGGTAGTGATGAGGATGACTGTTACCGGTGTTTCCCGCCCGACCCGGGCATTGGTACTGCCGCGTCAGGTACTAGTGAGGCTGCTGCTCTAGGTGCCAGTGCGTCTGTGCTCTCAGGTGCTGGTGAGTCTGCCCTCTCAGGTACTGTGTCGGCTTCGGCCTCTCACACCTTCACCCTTGACTCTGGAGCGTCTCGCTCCTTCTTTCGGGACCGCACCACTCTCACGCCGCTGAGTCGGCCGGTTGCGGTGTCCCTGGCTGACCCCTCTGGGGGGCCTGTCCTGTCTCGCTTCTCCACTGTCCTCCCGTGTCCGGCGGCCCCCTCTGGCACCCTGACTGGTCTTTACCTCCCCTCGTTCTCGACGAACTTGGTGAGTGGTGCTGACCTCCAGGATGCGGGTGTCCACCAGTTCACCCCTGCTCGTCAGCGGGTGACCCACTGCACGGAGGCGGATACAGGTCGCCACCTGGCTACGTTTACACGTCGGCCAGGGTCGAGCCTGTACACTCTGACCACTGCTTCTCCTCCAGGTGCTGAGTCTGGTAGGGTCACTTCGTCTGGTCAGGTGTTTGCTGCAGCGTCCAGGTCTGGTCCTGAGTCTGCCCCCTGCTCGTGCCGTCGTCTGTCTCACGAGACCCTCCTCTGGCACCACCGCCTTGGCCACCCCTCTCTGCTTCGGCTCAGAGGCATGGCCTCGCGAGTCCTTGTGTCTGGTCTTCCCCGGTCTCTCCCTCCCCTCCCTCCGGGCCCTGGCCCCACCTGTGTCCCCTGTGTCGAGGGGCGCCAGCGTGCTGCCCCTCACTCCTCCCAGTTTCCTCCGACAGAGGCCCCGTTGCAGACGCTTCACATGGATGTGTGGGGCCCAGCCCGCGTCCGTGGACAGGGTCAGGAGCGCTACTTCCTGCTGGTTGTTGACGACTACTCGCGTTACACCACAGTCTTCCCCTTGCGCAGCAAGGGTGAGGTCACTGCGGTGTTGATCGACTGGATCCGCGCAGCTCGTCTCCAGCTTCGGAGGAGCTTTGGCTCTGACTTCCCTGTTTTGCGTCTGCACTCGGACAGAGGCGGAGAGTTCTCCTCTGGCCTCCTGAGTGCCTACTGTCGTGCGCGAGGCATCCGTCAGACCTTGACGCTTCCGGACTCACCGCAGCAGAATGGGATTGCTGAGCGCCGCATTGGCATCGTCATGGACGTCGCTCGTACGTCCATGATGCATGCGGCTGCTCCCCATTTTCTGTGGCCGTTTGCGGTCAGGTACGCTGCGCACCAGATCAACCTCCACCCCAGGGTCTCTCGACCGGAGACCTCCCCAGCCCTGCTGTGGACGGGGAAGGTTGGCGATGCGTCGGCGTTCCGGGTCTGGGGATCTCGGGCGTTTGTTCGCGACCTGTCTGCGGACAAGCTGTCCCCTCGTGCTTCTCCCTGCGTCTTCCTGGGGTTCCCCCCCGACGCCCCTGGGTGGCAGTTTTACCACCCCACCTCTCGACGTGTTCTGTCCTCCCAGGACGTCACGTTCGACGAGTCGGTACCCTACTACCGCCTCTTCCCCTACCGCACTCCGTCCCTCCCCCCACCCCCGCTCTTCTTGGTACCAGGTCCCCCCCCGGTAGTCCCCCTCCCCCCTCAGGGTCCTGCCCCTTCAGGTGTGTCCCAGGTAGACGCGGTCGAGCCTGTCGAGGTCACTGGTGACTCTGGTGCTGCTGCGGGAGCTGAGCCTGGGGGTGCGGAGTCTGGGGGTGCTGAGCCTGGAGGTGCCGAGTCTGGGGGTGCTGAGCCTGGGGGTGCTGAGCCTGGGGGTGCTGTGCCTGGGGGTGCTGAGCCTGGAGGTGCCGAGTCTAGGGGTGCTGAGCCTGGGGGTGCTGAGCCTGGGGGTGCTGAGCCTGGGGGTGCCGTGCCTGGGGGTGCTGTGTCTAGGGGTGCTGAGCCTGGAGGTGCTGTGCCTGGGGGTGCTTCGTCTCGCCGGGAGCCACTCTCCCCACAGGAGCTGCGTGAGTGGTTTGCCGGGCGCTGGAGGCGTGCTGCTGGTGCTGGTGGTTCTTCGGCTGCAGAGGGTACTGCTGCTGCGCGCCCCGCCGGCGCTCGTACTGTGGGTGCTAGAGCTGCTGAGTCTGAGAGTTCTCCTGGAGCTGGTCCTGCTGAGGGTGTTGGCGCTGAGCCTGCCGTTGGCGGCCCGACTGACAGTGCTCCTGGTGCTGCGGCTGGAGGTTCTGGAGCTTCTGGTGGTGCTGCTGGAGGTGCTGCTGGAGTGGGTGCTCCTGCCGGGGCTGCTGGTGCTGTTCCTGCTGTTTCTAGCGTCGCCGCGCGGCCCCGACCGTACTTCGTTCCGCTCCTGCAGCAGGTTCTTGGTCTTACACCTCCTCCTCCTCCCTTAGAGGGTCCGCAGCCTGTCCGGTCACAGCCACAGCTACAGCCTGCCTCCCCTTTGCCTGCTCCTTCTCCCTACGCTGGTCCGACTGGAGGTCTTACTGAGCGTCGTGAGCCTGCGTCTCGTCCTGTG